AAACATAAATATCCCACCAAATACTATATCAATTCCTAGACATCATGTCCAAGATAGTGTAACTTTACACATACCCATGAAAAAACACAGGTTCACCATGCCGAAGCACACCACTTCCATTTCCAATGCATGCCAAGTCTTCTCTGAGACACAACAGCAGACAGCTAGAGCTTGAGGCATTACTTATGGACATAGGTTTAGTTTCATATTCAGTCAGGGGCTCCAGTCCCAATTTAGGATCTAGCATCTGTCCCCCATCTAGATGAAGCCATACATCTCTGAGATGCTTTCTTAGGCAACACAGCAGTTGAATGAGCAAATTACATTGACCTAAGGTCAGGTATGAAGGTCACACAAAGGTCAAAACCAAACTGTTTTGTTTCTCTAGGGCTTGCTCTATGGGATGGCTTCTGGTGCTCATTTAGAGTTTATTGAGAGCAGGAGCCGCATTCTACATCAGCCATGAACTTCTTAGAGGTCAGAATAGGTCATGGACCTAAAATGACCCAGGTCAACATTTGTTTTTGGAGCATACTGCCTAGCGTAATCTTTGTCACTTAGTCAAATGCAAAACTCAAAGTGATCTTGTGTGATTTTGGTCACCTTAACCTTTAAAAGGTCAAAAAGGTCACTGACCTTGGATGATAATGTGACCTCTTGCTTAGAAATACCTTTTACTTAGAAATGGTTATCTACATTCTGGGGGCACATTAGAGACCAGCCTGGAACTTGACCTTGTTTGACCTTTTCTGACCCAAATATCATGACCAAGGATTCTGAAACTTTGACCAAAGTGAGTTCACATACAGGCCAACACAAGCTGTAAATTTGGTGTCTCTGGCTTTCTTAATTCCTGAGATCTCAGAGGGGGCATATTGACCCCCAACTGAGCAAATGGTATCTAGCTGGCCACTCGGGTGAGTGTTAAAGAAGGTAGGACAAATCATGTTTACTTGCATGTTTACTAACATATTTTGAGGGTATATTGCTATACTATTCACAGCTCAGTCCCTCCACACACACCCATGCTTAAGCCAGTTTGTAAACATCCATCCCATGCACTGGGCCCTTACACCACATCAATGCTGAACCCCTTGCTTGTGTGCACCAAATGCAGGCAAGACACAATTGCTTGGCATTTTCACAATTGTTTCATGACAAATATTTTACAAACATTTTTACCTGAAATAGTCTTAACAGCATCACAATTCCTTGGGATATAGGCTCTACATGTACTAAAATTAGTGCTGACCATATATCTAACTCTAAAGCTTTCACATTTCTACAGCTGTGCACTGAAATTGTTGCTGTGGTGTCAATGCCAGACACATTCAAAATAAGGTGTACATTTTGCAGTGTGGTGTATATGGTGTGCTTAAGCCAACTGCTCATATCTAGCTGCAGTAAATTTAAGGACAAGCAGATAAATGCTCTTTCCCACCTCACATAGAATCAAGGTGCAAAAAAACTGCAGTATCTTTGGTTTGATGCATCACAGTCAATTCACATAACATGGCAGATCTGACAGATTCTTATTAGGGCAGGGTTAGAACAAGAATTGATGTTTGGGGCAGGTTTTGAAAATCTTAGAACATGAATTTTATAATTGAGTAGCCATGTCATTTTAGGAGAAGCTTGTGACATTATCAAACATGTACTGAGCTGGGGCAGAGGTTGGGCACAATCAGGGAATCCACTACAGTGTGTAAGGCAAAGGAGTAGCAAGTCATTAAGTCACATACAGTCAAAAGACCAAGTGCATTACATTTGTCTTAAAAGCATCATACATATCTTGATCACTGCCACATTATCCTGTCTGACCCTGAATGGGGCTGCTCACACAACATTACCATGGCTGGTATACAACCAATGGAATTAATGCCCAGACAAAAAGCACTGCACAAGCATGAATAATTTTGCTCACACCATCTCCTGCTGGTCCTACCAACTACGTAAACCAGCTGGAAATGTCTGCATGCCAGATGGGCCAGTGTCAGCAAGGCACTCAACAGTTAAAACACCTTGCTCACATTGAAAAATGGTTGACCCCTTTAAATAAATTAATTTTATAGCATAATAATCAGGTACAAAGCAATGGACATAATATTCAGTGTGATTTTGACCTATTTTATGCAGAGGTGGGGGTGGTTCGCAATCAGAACTTGCAAGTAATTAGACCGTCAGTAAAACAGAAAATCTAAAAGATGTCCAAGGTTGTCAAATGATCAGACCCTGCCCCAAGCCAAGAATTTGGCTATCGCATTGGAGACATGATCAGGCCCGCACCAAATACATTGTCAACTGGTCTGCCACTTTTTGTAAACTGGCATAACAGCAAGACATCTACATGCAACCATGCCTACCATCTTCATCGGTCTTCTTATCCATCTTCATCGAAGCTTGGTTTCGGACAAATTTCCGAACAATGCGTGTAAACACTCGGTACACCTAACCCCACAACGCTAGCTAAACGAAGCGGCGGCCCAGCCCGGAGCGCAATCAATCTCAGATATGTGTTCAAGCTGCGCTGAACGCAAAATGATCAGAGACATTTATTGCGCTTTCGAGACAGTATTCATGATGTTGTTGACACGTCAAAAAGAGAAGCAAGGGCACTTTATTCTTGGGATTACTGGCTATGTGTGTTAATATAGAGAAACGTAATTTTTTTATAACAAAGTCTAATAGATAATTTTTTTACAAAACAACTGCTTGCTATTTTGTTGCTAACCATATGACTATCAAATGTGCAATGCGCACTAGCCCATTGACGCGCAAAGGTTACGGCAGCCATTGTTGTGCGCCTTTCTGGTACGTGTGTCGGCGTCCGATTGTGGTTCGTTTTATCTGTATGTTATGTTATCTGGGAAGCACATATACCCTGCATGAGTATAAGATAATGGTAGTAGTGAGGTCAAGTTAAATGAGTGCAGTGGCGTGAATGCTGTGGATGGTATCTCGGTTGGCCACATGCCAATCTTGCGAAAAATCCGGCCGCAGCCGGACGCCGAAATGCGACATCGGTGTCCATGATGCACGGGCTGTTTCTGCCTGAAATTACCCTTTAGACATAAATATTTTCCAACCGTGTGTGTGGGTTGACAGGTATCTTTTGTTTGAAGAGCATTGTACATGTGTAATCTTCTGTGAGGTAGCAAATATTGTAAATGGCATCAGGTGCATCTACACTCATTCCTTCAAACTTCAATATTTACAATAGCGAATGTCAGCATGCTCCAGAGATACAGCATTCTTGATGTGCAGCCACCATTGTTGTGATGTAATCAACTAGTCAACATGTAATTGCTGTGAGGATACATCATTTAAAGAAAGTATGAAAAAATGGAGTTTAACCCAATGTAACCTTACCTAACCTTACCAAACTTACTAATTTGATGAAACCTAACTAAACATAATAGCCTAACTTAATTTAGCATAGCTTATCTGTAGCATTGTTGCCTGACATCCCCCCCACCCTCCACTCAATCCCCTGCAACCTATGTCCTATTAGTGTTAGTGCCATCAATGTGACATCAAGATGTTTGAACAGCCTCTGCTATTCATGTAGTGGTCATGATATTTGAAGGGTAAGATAATATGATGTCCATGAAATGTTCATGTTTTATGAATGTTTATAGTGTAATATCTTGAAATCATCAATTGGCAAACAATTTCATATTGCGGCATTAGATACCAATGTATACCGGGAGCTAATCATGGCTTCTTTACCCTGTAATTGATGGTAATTGTATTGAGCAAAAACTGCTCCTCAGATTTATGGTGTGCACATACTGGACACATGATATTGGCTCTATGATAGATATATTCCAAGAAGGGTTATTTTCAGCTGCCAGAACCAATGTAATGTGCCTGTGGTGTCATCGTCCTGACTGCATGCGCCAGGCTTAAGTGCATTTAAATTATTGGAAGGGAAGTTGTTGTAATATAACAAGCTGCCAGGAGACCCTTGGCAAGAGCACCACCCATTGAAGGTACCAGTCACTTTGACCAGCAAGTCCATGCAACCGAGTGGTCGTATGTGGATGTGACATAGTTGGAAAACATCTTTGATGTCAAGATTGTTATAGCCTGTAATTCATATGGTGTTTTGATTACTTGTAAGGCCGGAAATACCCTCTGTTGGATTGTACATAGCTGATTCATATGATTCTTGCACCATTCAAAATATTATTCTAGGCAACATAGCTATTCATTTTGTCCCATTCCTGTCAGCAGCAAAATCTGCAGATTTTTAGCACAACAGTTTAGTCATATAGCACACTGTCCAAGCACCCCAACTTTGTGATAGTGACAGCACACAAATTTCCCTCTGCCTGGACCTTTCATGACAGGCTTGTAGATAGAAGGTTTTAGGTTTAAAGGTTTTAGCTTTAGCGCTTTGATTACAACCACAGAGGAGCAGCTTTTTTGGACCATTGTCTGTCTGGCTTTGGCAGAAGCCTTGCTGTATGTCATCTAATGTTATTGATCTTAATTACAGAGTGCACTTATTGATAATCAGTAATCAAAATTCTTAAGATTTTCCCAGTAGCAGAGTAAAATGTTCCAAAATAGAGTAAAAAAAAATTCAGGTGTTGGAGTCATCACACTTTTATTTAGTATATTGTTGGAGAATTACAGTACAAGAATGGTGTCCAACAAAGGGCCAATTTGTATACAGCAATTCATGTGAAAACACTGAATGAAAGAGACCATCAGTATTAAACATGACACATTGGAACAACACAGTCTGAGACTTAGACATAAAGTACATGTGTATTATACAGGGGTGAGCAATCTGCAGAAGAATGGAGTGTTGCATAAGGTATTATGCATTCTACTTACATTAAGATCAGATGTACTATAGGCATAGCTGCAGCATAGTGTATTAAGATCAACTGTCCTGATGTCAAGGCTGGCCAATGCCAGCAAAGTTGCTTTTTTGCTTTCAAAGCTATCACTGTTTTTTTACATTTTGATGTGGTTTGTAACATTTTCAGGGATTGTTCCTGTCTACACATCAGTAATCATGGCCACACGCAACTGGAACCTGGAGTGCAAGGTCTATGTTGGTAATCTTGGCAACAGTGCTGCCAAGAATGAGCTGGAGTCTGCATTCAGCAAGTATGGCAACTTGAGAAATGTCTGGATCGCGCGCAATCCGCCCGGCTTTGCGTTCGTCGAGTTCGAGGATCCGCGTGACGCCGAAGACGCCGTCCGCGGCCTGGATGGCACGTGAGTGGACCATCTTTGGGGCTCTCTGGCTCTCTGGTGTTTGTGCGGCATGTTTTGCTGGAGATAAATGGTTCTGATTGGTGCACCATTCATCTCATTCACACCTGATTGCCTCTCTTGGATGCGGGCCATTCTTCTGTCAAGGGGTCATTGTGACTAGTTTGTTTCGTTTACATAGATACAGGTACGTTGTCTAGTTCGTACCCGCGCATTGTGGAACGGCGGCACAGCGGGTGGCTGGGCTGAGCTCTGCGACCTCCCACAGCCGGCTTTGCGGTGAGCGGATTCGCGTTGAGATGTCGTCTGGCAAGAGTCGGAACCGCGGCGGCAATGCGCGGCGGCGTGTCCAACAGGTCAGTGATGGGCGACGGCGCGCCTCCGCCGCCGCCGCCGCCGCCTGTCGGGATCGCAAACCAGTGCCATTGCCTTGAGCCGCGTGTGTGTGCGTGTGAAGCGGACCCCGGTCGGCGACAGGTGTGGACGCGCCGGCCTGTGTGCTGTGTATGGTTTGTGCGGCCACTCCCTAACGCGACGATGCCGTCTTACAGATCTCCAACTTCACTCTACCACCCCCTTGCCTCCGCCCATCACACACGGCCTTGTGCGGGTCACGTGACGGTCAGGTGACCCTTGACCGGACGTGACCCGGCCCATCGTGGGACTCTCGGCTCACCCCCAACTTGCATCTCACACATCTCGTCGCATCGCGCCGTATCGTTCGTTATACGTAATTGGCTGCATTAGCTACGTACCTACTTGCTTCGTGGGCCGCTCATGCTCCGCTCCTCGACACTTCGCTCCCTCCGCTTAAATCCGAAGCAAGTAAGTATGCTCGTCGGCCGGTACGTGTGCGTTTGTTGGATGCTGTCGGAGAGGCGGGAGCCGTGTTGCCGTACCTGACACGCGAGTCACTGTCCTTTGAGGCGGGTGAGGTTCGCTAAGCCGTGTGGAGCGCTCATAAGCTGCCTGTTCCTGTCCTCTTGCGTGGGGCCCTGTGGGGAACAGGTCGTGCGTGACGTGAACCAATGACAACCGCTCGGGTCGTCTTTCAGAAGGTCCTGACGTCAACTCACACTTTAGAGCTGTCCGTTGTAGACACTTCACGTCTGTCCAGTATGATGATTGAAACAAAGCAACACGCCTCTCCCGGTGGGTTTGGAGCACTTGACACCAGTTCTCGTTTTCAGTTCGGATATTCACATTCCTTTGGGTCGTTGTTGCGCCAAAGTAAGGTCCATCCAAGCGCGCGACTGTCCCTGCGCGCCGCGCCGCGCCGCGCCGCGCCGCGCCGTGGCGAGCGGGCGCGGAGGTGTGTGCGCGAGCCGTGCGGACGGTGGCGTGCGCGCCCGTCCGGCGGGCCTGGCCGCCGTCTGACGCCGCTGGCCCGTGCGCGCAGGTCGCCCGGACGCCGCTCCGTGTCGCCGCGGCGCCGCTCGCGCAGCCGCAGTCCGCGCGGCTCGCCCGTCTACGACCGCTACAGGAGGTGAGAGATGGAGCGGAGGCTGGATAGAGGCTCGCGGCACGACAGCGAACTGAGACCAGCTGGCCCGGCCGGGCCCGGCTCGACAGACTACCGGCGGCTGGGGTGTCACTTTTTATGCTACGGAGGGTGGCCTACCCCCCCCCCCCCCCCCCCATGCTGACTTGAGCTCCCAATGATGACTTGGGCCCCCAATATTGCCCTGGCCCTTAATGCATATGAACAAAGAAGGAATCCTGGGCCAAATAACTAAATAAATGAATATATATATATATATATATATATATATATATATATATATATATATATATTAACCGTTGTAGCTATTAGTATGCTAGGTGGTCGGTAGCCTGGCACATCACTTGTAGCTTTGCAATAATTTTCCAAATAGTATCTTGTGGGTACCCAATGATTTTATCATACTAAGTTCTACATCTGTTAAGCCAGTCTGCATATGCTTGACAAGTTGTTTCAGATAATGCACCCAGATTGAGATCAAGTTTAATTGGCTGCAATATGTGACAGTATTTCAAAGTACAGATTGACCCAGAAATAAGTAACCGCACATTTCCCCAACAGTGGCAAATGTGTTTATTGCGTAATCGTGTTTGAGGTAGTTATGCAAACATGATCAGGTGATAGCAGCAGCCGTCAGTGTTCCCTGACTTGTATTTCTCAGGTGTGTTTCTGTGACTTGTACCCCACTTGAAGCTTCTCATAACAACTCACACTGCTTGAAATGGAAGGCATTGCTCTGCAGGAAAACGGGCATGGATGTACAACATATTAAGGTTTTTTATTGTACTATTGAGGACGAAAACTCAAGTGGTCGAAATCAGGAAAGACATCAGGTTTTGGGAGAGGTCACAACCCTTTCAGCGGAGCCCCTGATTGATTTTGGAAAGCGGTGCCCCTGACTGATTTTATCTGGCTTTACTTCCATGTGCTGCGCAGGTGTGCAGGTGGTTTGCTGATGGCTTTATGGTGAACAACACCAGTGCATGTCCTGTATGTAAGGCACCCATATAAGCCTGCATGCTTTTACTTTGTCTAAAGCCATTTAAACTCATAGGCTCTGTGGTGAATGACACTAGTGTAATTCCTGATATGAGCAGGTACCCATCTGAATCAGTATGCCAAATAGGCGACGTGACTGCTCTACCACCCTATCACCCAGCCACACCAGCCAAGGTCTCTTGTGCCAACATGGAAGATGTTGACGTTTCAAACTACCAACGTCTCCTATGTCGCCAGGTCGAACAGCCGCGACTAGAGATGGCGCCGCCGACAGCCGCGACTAGCGGTGGCGCCGCAGACGGCGGTGTAGCCGCCCGCCAGCGTCGGCCCGCCCCGCCGGCACCTCCTCCAGGCTCTGCCCTCTCCGTCCTCCTGCCCCCTCGTGCAGCGTTCGTGGTAACCGCGCATAACGTGGTGTTCATACCCCCCCACCCCCCCCCCCCCACCCCCACCCCACCCCCGCTCCCCCGAGAAAGGCGGCGCTGGTTTCGTGTCTTGCATACCTGCGATGTCTCGAATTTAATTGTGCGCGGCATGTGTTTGGTTGTGTGAGGGCAGGTGAAGATGTAGCCTTGGTGGCATTCCATTCCATATGTATTTCGAGTGCGCAGCGAAAATAAACGCTTTTCGAATTAATGTTACTTTTGAAACTCGCCGATGTCGGGTCAGTCTCCATGCCAAAGGGATCCATGAGCGCAAACACTCGCGGAGGCTCCCACGGTTGCTGTGCACGTTTGTTGGGTTTGTAACACCATGCGTATTTGATGCGACAGGGTACATCTGCTGCCATAAATTGTAGAAACGTACGAGGCGCATTTTCTTGAGCATCGTCGAGAGAGGTGCATCATCCGCGTCTTTTACTCCAGAGGTTCTCGAACGAATGCGTAGGTTGCCGTAACATCCCACCGCAGCGCGTTGACCATGTGTAGTGAATCCGCCCAAGGCGCTACGGTGTGGTGGTCAGTGTCGGCTAGCTGATCATAATCCCGCCGGCAGTAGCGCCGGGTGTCGTCTCTATGACGTCATTCGGGACCGTTCCGCCTCGACTGCGTGGCATCACGTGTGTCTAGTTATGGATAGCTAGTGTGAGGGATCGAGTCGCGCCGCTCAAGCAAATACGTCAGACTCGTTATTTTCACTTCTAGGAAACGGGTCATTCCAGCCTAGCCATCCATTTGGCCCGGAAACCAAAATTAATTATTCGGCTTCAATGATGGGCTGCCATCATCGACGTGGTTCCGTGCATGCCTTGGGTAGTCTCCGTCTCAGCATCAAACATGCATTGTTACGCTAGCCGAGTTCTGGGGTCGTAAGGCAACCCCGCGGTCTAGTAGGGTTATCCAACCAGCTCTGCCGTTCGCACATGGCATGTACATTTCTTATAGGATGGTCATTACGTAATATAACAACATTTTCGCCTTGCCTGGTCGTAGCTATTTCCCTTCGAGCATATGTAAAGCGTGCCGTCTGGTGCGGGGGCATTCGAAAAGTTGGGCTCCGAGATTGAATGCATCACAAGTCTTGCCGTCGGTGCTGGTGGTTCGTACGGGCGCTGTAAGAGGTGGCTACTTGTAAACATGGTTGGGTGACTCGCTCAGCCATTTCCACCAAGTAGTCATTCACCAGTCTGCGACACTGGGAAATACAAGATTTCAATTCGGAAGACATATCTTTGATCGACTTACGTAATGCTTTGGCGTGAACCAAGGCTCTACTACAGGGTGCTGCATTTCAAACGTCAATTTTAAAAACGCTGCGAGACGTACACAACCTATTGATGGAAAAATTGTATCACGTTAATTAAACATTTGGACATTTTCATTTTTTTGTGTTCATCTGTCTAGCAAGACGCCTCTGCGACGGGTCCCTGAACACCAACGCGCGAACGAACTCGAGCGCGCCGCCCCGAACTCCTGACTGACCCACACCTTAAAACCACCACGATGAAGCACCACACCTCACCTGTTAGTGTCTGGCGAATGCGGTGTCTAGCCGCTGAGCGTAGGGATACAGGCTCACAGATCACGAGGATTGAAAGACATCAAGCTTAACGGCCGGCGATTACAGCACCGCTGTCAGGTGGTGCATGCTTGGCCTGTTTTTAGTATTCTTGCCTGCGCGTTTGAAATTGACAGTTCAAGCGAGACGCCCACATCTGCTACACCGCTGCGAGACAAGTTAGCGGTGGTTACTCGGGAGTACGGATGTCCAGGTCTGTTAGCGGTGATTACTCAGGTGCACGGGCGTCCAGGTCTGTTAGCGGTGGTTACTCAGGTGTACGGATGTTCAGGTCTGGTGGCGGTGGTCATTCAGATGTATGGGTGTACAGGGTCTAGTAGCGGTAGTTACCCAAATGCACAGATGTCCAGGTCTAGTTAGCGGCGGTTAATCAGGTGTATAGGATGTTCAGGTCTGTTGGCGGTGGTTACTCATGTGTACGGATGTCCAGGTCTGTTAGTGGTGGTTATTCAGGTGTACAGGGTCTAGTAGCGGTGGTTGCTCAGGTGTACGGATGCCCAGGTCTGTTAGCGGTGGTTACTCAGGTGTACGGATGTCCAGGTCTGCTAGCGGTGGTTACTCAGGTGTGCGGATGTCCAGGTCTGTTAGCGGTGGTTACTCAGGTGTACGAATGTCCAGGTCTGCTAGCGGTGGTTACTCAGGTGTGCGGATGTCCAGGTCTGTTAGCGGTGGTTACTCAGGTGTGCGGATGTCCAGGTCTGCTAGCGGTGGTTACTCAGGTGTACGGATGTCCAGGTCTGGTAGCGGTGGTTACTCAGGTGTGCGGATGTCTAAGTCTGGCGTAAGCCACAAGGACACCAGTCCGGTGAGTTTATCTGCTCGTTCGCAGCAACAGCACACAAGCTTTGAATAATTCCGTATATATTAATACATTTTCCCGCCACACCGTTTGTTACATTGCATGCGACCCCTACTGACCCGCGATGGTTGCGTGGCACAGACTACCGTGTGGCGAGGAGGCGCACAGACGCGATTTGTTACCGTGCATCGCCCAGGGCATCGCTCACGGGTCGCCCGCGCGGCGAGCACGGAGTAGTAAAGCTTCTGTAGGCAACATTCCGGCCAGTGTCTTCAATACTGGGACTAGACATCCAATATCAGCTGCTCGACCGGACAAAATCGCACCCCAGCAGTTACGTAACAGACAGCACACCCGCCGCGCCTGTGTCGCGCCAGCCGATCGCGTGACGTCACAACACTATTGGAAGGGATGATGTGTAGCTGCAGCGGCGACGCGGCGGCGCGGGCCGTCTTCTGCTGGCGGAGATCGCGGCACCCACGCCGATACACTGAACGACACAATGGCTAGCTGACACGCTGCCCCCCGACAAACGGACAGACAGGCGGGACATCCCGCCCCGCGAGGGAGAGCCGCGTCACAGCCGTCCTCGCGCCGGGCGGCGCAGCGGCGACTCAAGTAACCGCCGGCCGACGCTGGACTGCGGCCATCTCGTATAAAGATCACCACACCCGCTGGCGCCGGTCAGCAACGCCGTCACAACCTCACTCTAACGAATCAAGCGTTATGGTAAGGTGCCGCGTGAGTTTAGAAAGCAGTCGCGGACATGAGAACAACAAAATCCGAGTGATCACAATACACGTATTAAATATCCTCCAATATCACTTCACAGCTGCGTTTGTGTCAAAACCGCACCGCGCGGCTCACAACGACAACACTAATCTCGATCGTTCACAGTCAACGACACCGCCTCACCACCCCACGTCCGTCAGTCCTCGATGCTTTTGTGCTCTAGAGATCTGCACGTCTTGCGATAAACGATGGGCCAGACCGAGGCTCCGCCCCGCCACGCCCTCCTCCAGGTGCGGCTGGCGGGTCGGGCGGGGCGAAGAGGGACGCCCCGCGGTTCCGCGCGCCGCCGCATCAGTGGCCCTCGCGCGTCACCTGCACCGTCTTCTCCACCAGCACGGCCAGCACCTTGTCCAGCGGGTCCATCGAGCCGCGCTGAAGCCACTTGGGGATGGTGCTGCGCGCGTGCCGAAAGCCCAGCTTGTTCAGGATGAAGTCCACGCCGTACGGCTCGATGCGACGCCCCGCCCATGACAACAGCCTGGCCAATCAGAGCACGTTCAGCACGCATGCCCCGCGCAGGACACTGCCACAACTACAGCGCAGGCGAGACATCCCGCCATATCAGACAATACTCTCAACACCCACGCGTCCACGCACGCACACGGAAACGGCAAGCTGTTAGGAAGGTCGATGACACAATGAACCAGTAATTTTACACCCATAAAGTACCACCTCAACGCGCTGCTACGGCCCGGCCCGTTCACTGGATGACCAATCCTCATCCCAACTACTGGCGGCACTGGCCAACCGACTGGGGTCTCACCGGACGGTACGCCCCAGGTGTCAGGTGAAACACTGACGGTGCCTCACTCACCTGACGGTGGACTCCAGGTGCAACACTGACGGTGCCTCACTCACCTGACGGTGGACTCCAGGTGAAACACTGACGGTGCCTCACTCACCTGACGGTGGGCTCCAGGTGCCAGGTGCGACACTCGAACTCGCGCCAGTCCTGCTGCAGCATCTGTGTGGGGTCATTGACCTTGTGCTCGCCGTCGGACGCGGTGAGCGAGGCGCTCGGCCGGGCGGCGGCGGCCACTCCGTTCGCCGCCGCCGCCATCGCCGGCACCGACGGTGTCGGGTCGGGCCGGTTCTTGGAGGGCTGTGGCACGGGCGGTGCTGGTTAGGCAGAGTCGGACTAAACACGCCCGGCGAGCTCGCCCCCGCTGGTGGTGACGCACCCCACACACGTGCGGAAAGGCGTTCGCTGTTGGCGTTTCAAGGGGCGTGTAGCAGCTCCGTGAAGAATTTAAGTGTTAAGTGTCCCTGATGGCATTAAAGGCTGACTGAAGCTCGTTCATCACGATCACACAACTGCTTACGTATACGGCTCAGCAACAACAAAATCATAGCAACAGTGACATGCCTGATATGCCGGCTATAAACAGCAGGCGCCGGTTTGTGTCAGTTTGGTGGCGCCTGGCTGTGATAAGGCGGCGGGCGCGTGCGTCGCAGGCGCACCTGTTTGTCGGAGGCGCGAGAGCGGCCGGCACCGTCCGGCTGGCGGCTGATGTACGTGTCGATCAGGTCGTGCAGAAAGAAAAAGTTCTCGGCGTCCGTCGTCACGAAGATGTGGTCCTCAAACTCGGTCACGAAGCTGCACACCACCACCGGCTTGGGAGCTGCGGACGGCCGGACCACGTCAGTTCCAGGGACGAGTCGCAGACCTGCGTTCGCTGACCGATCATTTCAAGGCAGTAGCATCGACCCTAGTTGCGGATCCACGCAACTTTACACCATGTACCAAAGCAACTTAGTGCATTAACATCCCCTGATCCGCCCGCCACGTCGCCTGCTGACTCTGACCCGTCCTCTCTCCCGTGCGTCCCCCGCCGGCCTCGCGCCGGCCATGACCGCTGCCGACCCTGATCCGCTTCTTCTATGCCCCCCCTCCCCCCCCCCCCCCGGCAGCCTTACACTGACGATGACCGCTACCGACCCTGACCCGGCCTTTTCCCGTGCGTCCTCCTCCTCCCACCGGGCGGTCCCGCACCGGCCATGTCCGCTGCCAACCCTGCCCCGCCTTCCCCCGTGCCCCCCCCCCCCTCCGGCCAGCCCCGCACCGCCCGCAACGCACCGGCCATGTCGGGCTCGGCGCCCGTCTGCGTGTGCTCCGTCTTCAGATGCATCTGCATGGGTGGCAGGGCGAACACGATCTCGGCCGTGTGGTTGTGGTCGTGCAGCCGGGGCGTCTGCGGCGGCGGGCTGGCCTGGCCGGAGCGCGACTGGCGCCGCTCCCCGCTGCCGGCGCCGTCCACCGCCGGCCGCTCCAGGCTCGGGAACCGGTCCACCTCGTCCAGCTCGCTCGTGCTGAACGTGTAGTGGAACCACTCCTGGCGGCGGGGCGGCGCGGTCACGGCGCTGGTCGCTGGCTCTTCAGGGCTGGGGAGCTGACGCTTCGCTACATACAGAGCAACGCTTCAGCACGAGAGCGTAGTGGCTGGCGGCTGGAACGGACTTGACGCAAGGAAGCAATTTCGAACACAAGTCATTACAAAAATAAATGCATCTGCTGGTAATGTGCTTCCCTGTCCATCCATAGACCCCTTCCACCAGCCAGTGTGCCCAGCGGCCAACGGCAGGGAGCGACCCAAATGACGTCGAACGCAAGGTACATGCAAGACAACCCGAAGGCAGCCAAACCGAGCGCCGCAGCGACGGCTCCAAAAGGCGCCTCAGCACTAGTTCCAGCCAACGCCTCGGAGGCGGCCGGCTGGGCGGCGGCCGTACCTGCATAGTTCGGAACTGCGGAGGGAACAGGATGGTGCGCGTGACGCGGCACACGGTGGCCATGCTGACGTGGCGCGCCGTCGGCTGGTGCGACAGCAGGCCCAGGCTGATCGACAGCGTCTCCACCACGTGCACGTCCGGCGGCACTGGCGACACGCGCGGACACGGCGCGTCAGGCGGCGTCAGGCGTCAGGCGTCAGGCGTCAGGCGTCAGGTGGTCGTCTGACAGTCAGCAGTCATCAGTCGCACGGTCCGGGAATCGGCAGGCAGCGCAGAGCTAACATGACGGAGGACTGTCGGAACAGGATCACCGCGCGCTCTCAGAGTTGCAAACCGTAGCATTCAATAACACGTTTCCACGGTGCCCATTCTCTTTGAGTGTCACTCATGAATCGCTAAGACGACATGCAAGTCCTTTCCCGACCAGACAACCACCCGAACAAGAAGAAAACAAGACCCCGCAACGCAATAAACAATGCTATGAGCAAAACAATACTGACAAGGCGTGGTCGCCATTGTGATCCGAACTAAAGCGGTGGTTTGTCCTCACCAAGCCCGTCTTTCCGGCACACCACTCGATGCCCGTCTTCATCTGCTGCCTCCTGGTGACTTTAACGCGCCTGGACCCCATCTCCGTCCTGCGGCGTCTCGCCGTCCGTCTCAGGCTCCCAGCTCTCGCTCGAGGCTGGGAGATCGGAAAGTCGACGGACTCACCTCCGGTCTCGATCTCCTGGCTCTCGGTCGAGAACGAGATGTTGGGCTCGCGCAGGCTGAAGAGCGCCCAGCTCTTCGACTTGAAGTTGAGGCCGTGGAAGCAGGCGAGAGAGATCGTCTGGCCGCGCATCTCGATGGTGCCGCCCAGCACGGTGCCCGAGGGCGGCAGGCGCGTCATGAACGTCTTCAGCTTGAGCCCGGCCACCAGGCGCAGCGCGTCGTGCCAGTGCCGGTGGTGGCGCGTGTCGCTCTGCTGTTGGGCCGTCTCCTGCAGCACTGCAGGAGCGCCACCGGCGGGTGAGCGGGCCGGACTTGATGCCTGAGTGACGCGCTGGAGCGGCCACTTCGCCCCCTGGTGCGGGGCAGCCGCCCGGCCCGGCCGCCAGGGGGTGAGACAAAGGCAGGGAGTGATATCTGTTTCGTCACGCGCCCGCATAGCTCCAACTTGTTACTGTCTCTGCGAACTCGTGACACAACAGCCGTCTACAATGTCACCATAGCAAATTCCTTCCCCGTCAACAGATAAGTATTTCGGCATCCTCGTAATACAGAAAAGCGCGCAAAGCGACTAAACGACGACAAAGGTTGACATAACACACACAACAAACTCCACCAGCGCCGGGGGCTGCCCTGCTCGACGCCCCGCCCGGGACCGCGCCCGCATCCGGCTCAACGCACCCTCGGTAAGGCGGCGGTGTTTGGTAGTGCGGCGGCGCAGACTGGCCGACTTGGACGAGCTCGGCCGCTCGTTCAGACCGATTAGCACGCGGCGTGAGCTCTGGAACTGCTGTAGGAAGAACTCCTCCAGCTTGCTGTACATCTTGATCAGGTCGGTGGTTGTCGACTTGGAGATCATGAGCTGCATCTGGTCCCAGGACACCTCCGTGTGGATGAAGATCATGGCGGGCCTGTCGACGGACCGGCAGACATGTCCGTGGCTTAACAGACAAGCCAGCTCGCCAGGGCCGGTATCGCCACCTATCGCTTCAAGTCATACTCAGTATTCGCTTGCCCGCCGCCCATCAGACAAAGCTCTAAACCCCAAGCGGCCACACCACGCCCAGAAAATTGACACGACTTCAAAGGCATTTACCAGCACAACTTCTCACAGAACCAGTAGATGGTCCGCAAGCACCACGCGAGTCCCCGCAAAACAACACGCCCATCTGAGCATCGGCTGCATCCCACAGCGGCCTCACAAGCACCGGCCGCATCCCACAGCGGCCCGACGAGCACCGGCCGTATCCCACAGCGGCCTGCCGAGCACCGGCCGCATCCCACAGCGGCCCGACGAGCACCGGCCGCATCCCACAGCGGCCCGACGAGCACCAGGCGCATCCCACAGCGGCCCGACGGACACCGGCCGCCAGCAGCCGCGTCTCCCTGCGCCGCGCCTCACCTCTTAGTGCCCTCGGCCTCGTTGTCGGCCATCTGGGCTGTGATTCGCCACTCGTCTCGCAGCGTGGCGTCCAGCGCCGACACGCGCCCCATCAGCACCGACGTGCCCATGTAGTCGAGCCGCAGCTCCAACGTCTGCAGCCGCAGCCCCACCGTGTGGCTGGGCTCCACGCCCGGGTCCTCCAGGATGCGCACTGCGCACGCCGGCGGGCCGGGCCGGTGAGCGGGAGACGGCGGAGACGGCCCCACACGCCGACCGCAGGGCAGGGGCCAGCTAGGCGGCCGACACCATGCGCGCCCCGTGTGCGCGTCTGGGGCTGCTTACACGACTGGTACCAAGTCCGGAACGACTGATTGCGTTTGCATACAACCACTCGGTTAATTTAACGATGCTTCACCGCGAGTACGTCCAGTTACACCCACTGAGAGAAATCTGGTAATGGGCAAATTAACATTTCAAGTACAACATGAAGACATACGTGATCTCCAGGGCGAAATCACAACACGCGAGCGAACTCAGCACCGCTCGTCCTCCGACCACCGCCCAGGTTCACGGCCGCCGGCGACACTCACGGTAGGTGTCGATCTTGCCGACCTCGACGTTGCCGCCGACGATGCCGCCTTTGGCCTCGAGCGAGGAGCCGCCCAGGCCCAGCGAGATGAACATGTTCTTGTGGCCGGTGCTGCCGATCGAGAGCCGTCCCTCCGACGTGAAGCCGTTCGTTTGCCACCTGGAGTAGCGAGGCCAGTCAGAGGGTCAGTCAGAAGTTCAGTCAGAGCGTCAGTCGGAGGGTCAGTCAGAGCGTAAGTCAGATGGTTAGTCAGGGAGTCGGCCAAAGGGTCCGTCTGAGGGTCAGTTGAGCATCAGTCAGGTGGTAAGTCAGAGGGCCACTCAGAGGGTCGGCCAAAGGGTCCGTCTGAGGGTCAGTTGAGCATCAGCCAGGTGGTAAGTCAGAGGGTCACTCAGAGGGTCGGTCAGAGGACCCGTCAGCGTTCTTCAGGACAGTGCGTTTCGGATCATTAAAAAGAAACAAAACTTAACATGGGGCTCATAGTAGTACAATTAAAGCAGGTTGGCCGGGAGAACGCGGCAGAACAAAATCAAGAGAGATGTAGTCGGCGGCGGTCCGAGATACTATGGTCAAACCTGACTGGCTTCCGCCGGCCCCATGCCGCGGTGAATGTGAGGTAAGGTTTGTATAGAAGCAAATGCCGTATGGTCGGGATTTTTACACAGCTTTTTTACATTGCGAAGTCTGCTCCACTCGTCAGAGGGCAAAGGGCATAACGTGGGTCTCCATCTCATGCGCCGAAACTGGAGAATTGCGCAAAACTCTTTGGGAAGTACCTAAGAACATGTTTTGAACGGTGGATAGACGCCGAATAGCGGAAACGACAACGTACAAAATCCAGCCCCTCCGCTCGCTGACACAAAAGAGGTCACCATCCAAACATGAAAAGTGACACCAATACCAATAAATCACAACATTCAACGCACCAATTGCGTAGAACCTCCTGTTCACCATGACGTACATGTGGCCCCGTGAGGCCTGTCAAACATTGCCGTGGCCGACGGTATTTCACGTCGTCCCGGCGGGGTATTGGGTAAAGTTTTCAACTAGCAATAACAGCACCTCGGATAGACCTCATTGGTTACTGTATCGCCACTGCGCGAGGCTGAATTCCGACGCCTGGCCAAAGGGTATGTCTAAACCACTCCCCGTCTCTCGTGTGAGACATCACCTGCGTACCGGTCGCTGAACGGCTGACAGCGGCCCTGCCAGCCGTCATCCGGACCAGAACGGATGCCGTTTTTGGCCCCTGTGATCTCCCACACTATGACGCGGTGCATTTGATGAATCTACAGCAATGGAGGTGTTTTGTTTCACTCCAAACGGGATAATGAACAGGAGCCATCTAGCGGCCGGGTCACACACTTCACCCCAATTATAACGCCCACCAGCGCCGCCTGGTGGCAATGACCAGCAGTAGTGCTTTCAGTTCGGCCAGCACTTGTTACCGATTACGACACGGCATCTGTGACGCGACGCCTACGACGAGGCCCCTGGTATGACACACGCCGAGCGGGACTCCTGTTCCAGCGCTCAGACTGACAGCCCCGCACCGCACCGGCCCGTAATACCAGACCACGCCACTCCGTGACACGGCCCCACAGGCTGTCACACGCTGTCATGGTCACGTCGCCCTGCACCAGTCCCCTTCATCCCCCCCCCCCCTCCCACCTCCAGCCTGGTGTGCGGACGGCGCGCCGCGCGCCCCACTCACGTGACGTTTCCCATGACGTTGCCCATGTTCATGTGGACGTTCAGCTTGGTGAAGTTGACGGCGAAGAGCACGAGCGTCTCCCAGGAGGACGGCACGTTCACAGAGTTTCCGGTCGGCGGTAGCACGGGGTCCAGACTCAGCCGCCTCTGCAACACTGCGGAACACGGCGGCACGTGGTGTCACACAGCGTCACATGGTGGCACATGGTGCCGCCCTGCGTCACACGGTGTCACACTGCATCACATGGTGTCACACAGCGCCACACTGCATCACATGGTGCCACACAGCGTCCACGGCGTCGCACGGCATCCCATGGTGACGTATGGCGAAAGACGGCGTCACATGTGTCACAGCATCGTGCGCCGTCACACACCGTGACCATAAATGGTGCATTGCTGTTACGTGGAGCCACACTCCGCTACCTCGCATCACATACTGATGCCTGGCGTCAAGCGCTGTCTTGCGCCATAAGACACTACATGGCATAAATGGACGTCGACCGACGTCACATGGTGTCACATGGTGTTGTCTGGCAACACCAGACCGCACCACTCCGTAACACGGCCCCACGCGTTGTCACACACTCCCATGAGACGTCACGTCGCCCAGCGTCGCCTCAATCTCATGAAATGTCACGTCGCCCAGCGTCGCCTCAGTCTCATGAAATGTCACGTCGCCCAGCGTCGCCTCAATCTCATGAAATGTCACGTCGCCCAGCGTCGCCTCAATCTCATGAAATGTCACGTCGCTCGCCCAGCGTCGCCTCAGTCTCATGAAATGTCACGTCGCCCAGCGTCGCCTCAATCTCATGAAATGTCACGTCGCCCAGCGTCGCCTCAATCTCATGAAATGTCACGTCGCCCAGCGTCGCCTCAATCTCATGAAATGTCACGTCGCCCAGCGTCGCCTCAATCTCATGAAATGCAACGTCGCCCAGCGTCGCCTCAACTCATGAAATGTCACGTCGCCCAGCGTCGCCTCACTCTCATGAAATGTCACGTCGCCCAGCGTCGCCTCAATCTCATGAAATGTTACGTCGCCCAGCGTCGCCTCAATCTCATGAAATGTTACGTCGCCCAGCGTCGCCTCAGTCTCATGAAATGTTACGTCGCCCAGCGTCGCCTCAATCTCATGAAATGTCACGTCGCCCAGCGTCGCCTCAATCTCATGAAATGTCACGTCGCCCAGCGTCGCCTCAATCTCATGAAATGTTACGTCGCCCAGCGTCGCCTCAATCTCATGAAATGTCACGTCGCCCAGCGTCGCCTCAATCTCATGAAATGTTACGTCGCCCAGCGTCGCCCCACGGCGCAGATCTTCGCCAGAAGCCATGTCACCTGCCGTGTGTTAGCTGGCGTCACGTTACGCTACCACGCTGCATCTCATGGGCTTAAGCAGCATCACAAAACCCCACGATTCACCACAGGGCGGCAGCACTACGCGGCGTTATACGTCACATAACACGCGATTGACATTTTGCATGACATCACATATCGCCAAAGCGGCGGACAGCTCTGCGTAACGCCACGCGTCACAATGCGTCACAGTGCGCCCCGCCAAGGCTCGGTGGGGGCGTGGATAGCCTTTCTGACCACTGCCCGGCCACCAGCTGGGATGGCCGCCACACCGTGACGGGGAGGTGGATCTCACGTGCCACGTACGGTACCGACCCCTGGGGGAGGGGGGGGGGGGCGTCCAAGGACTGCAGTCCTGCACCACGGCCACATGCTTGCTGCAGTTGCTGCAGCGTTCCGCAGTACACTAGGTCACCACTCCATCTGCCACCCGGCAGTGTCCTGGGCCGGGATCTCCCCTATCACCAAAGCAATTGATCTATCCCTCTTACCGCGCCATTTGTCAAGCCTCTCCATGTATCTTACGATGCGGTGTGTTGCCTCCCATCCTTCCATGCAGTTTGTCTTGCCCTTCTTCCTCCTTCCCCATGCAGTTATCATCTCTCTCCACCCATCTCACCATGGGATTTGTCGAGTCTCTCGCTCTCACCGTGCAGTCTGTCGCCCCTCCGCACCCCCTCGCCGCGCAGTCCATCGCGTCCCCGCACCCTCTCACAGAGCAGTCTGTCGCGTCCCCGCACCCTCTCACAGAGCAGTCTGTCGCGTCCCCGCACCCTCTCACAGAGCAGTCTGTCGCGTCCCCGCACCCTCTCACAGAGCAGTCTGTCGCGTCCCCGCACCGTCTCACAGAGCAATCTGTCGAACCTCCGCACCCTTTTGCCGTGCAGTCTGTCGCCCCTCCGCACCCTCTCACCGTGCAGTCTGTCGAACCTCCGCACCCTTTCGCCGTGCAGTCTGTCGCCCCTCCGCACCCTCTAACCGTGCAGTCTGTCGACCCTCCGCACCCTTTCGCCGTGCAGTCTGTCGCCCCTCCGCACCCTCTTACCGTGCAGCCTGCCGAACCTCCGCACCCTTTCGCAGTGCAGTCTGTCGCCCCTCCGCACCCTGTCACCGTACAGTCTGTCGCCCCTCCGCACCGTCTCACCGTGCAGTCTGTCGCCCCTCCGCACCGTCTCACCGTGCAGTTTGCTGGGCCGCGGCCGGACCTCGGCGCCGCTACCGATGGGCGAGCGAGCCGGCGTCAGCTGCGAGCCGGCGCTGCCGTCGGCCGCGGGCTGCCGCTCCGGTGAGCTGGACCGCGCCACGTCCGCCGCGATCGTCGTGTCGCCCAGATCACCTGCCGCACGCGGAGCCGGCGGTCAGCGGACGGGCGGACGGATGGACGGACGGACGGACGGATGTATGGACGGACAGATGGACGGACGGACGATACTGCTACTGGAGACAATGACCGTTATCACTCTTGGCATGTGCTATGTGTAAATGGATCCAGTGTTTTATCGTTTGCTTGTCCATTGCGTATTAAGAAATGGAACGTTGAACCCATTCTCCGTGAGTAGAATCTCCCTGACCTCGAGTATCCATCTTAGATAAACCATGGGGTAATCGAAGGTAGCACACACCTATTCATTTATTTACTCCTGAACCGAGAAGGGCACGACCGCCGCCATATCATTTTTATTTTTTGTTCTGAGGATTTGAAGATGACTGAAACAGACCCTGGAAGAGCTCGACTTAGCTCAGTGGACATGGAGGTCACTGACCGAGAAACATCCTGCGGACGATGGTGCGCCGGTACCAGGCCTTGGGGAAGGCCAGGATCTCCGTCAGGCGCCGCATGTCGTACTTGAACGACGCCGAGCCCAGGTCGATCACGGCTGTCGGCAGACCGGCACGGCTCATCTCACGAGTCGAGGTCATGACTCATTGATAAGCAGCAGCCGCAAGAGCATCGTAGTCCACATTCAGGATGGCTTTGCACAGGCCGTCACCACCACGGTCAACCGGAGAAGTGATATGCAGACGGTGCCCGAGCGATGCCCCAATGCCAGGGCCCACCGCGAGGTCATGCGATGTCGTAGATGACTGGCATTGTATCAATACATCCGAACACACTCGCCTCGTTTCAGGCGTAACCAAAGGCGCACACAAAAAGGCAGGAAACACAGTGTCTGCGAATAACGGGCAGGACGCCGTCGATGCGTGAACAAACGCAGTCGTTTTGAAAGACAGCACAGAACCGCGGCCTGACACATCATGCAACTGCAGCACGACAGGCTCAACTCTCAGGCAACTCACTCGAGAAGCGTACGATGGCCCTGCCGGCGTCCGTGCCGCTGCTGTCCAGGTCCAGCTTGCGCGAGCGCGACACGATAAACTGCACGAACTCGACCCGGACGCTGAGCGAGTCCTTGCGGTCGGTGTCGTTGAGCGGGCTGGTCACGTGGTCCTTGCCCGAGTACTTGTTGCCGTACGGGTGGAACACGTACAGCGAGAAGTCGGCCAGCACTCCGGTGACGCTGAGGCCGCCGGCGGGCGCGTCGGCCGGCTCGCGGGCCGAGCGGGCACCGCGCCGCCGCCCCGCCGCCGGCTCCCTGGCCGCCGGGGCAGCGGACGTCACTCACCGGCCAGACAGCGGTCACCCATCGACCAGACGGCAGTCACGCACCGGCCAGACGGCCGTCACCCATCGACCAGACGGCGGTCACTCACCGGCCAGACAGCGGTCACCCACCGGCCAGACGGGGTCACCCATCGGCCAGACAGCGGTCACCCACCGACCAGACGGCGGTCACCCGCCTCACACATTCAGAGAAAGACACCTTCCTACCATCTTACACATCGACATGAAGAACCAGACACTACAACGTGCCACCGGTCGCGTGGCGTTTCTGCCAAGGTCGACCCAATTAACAGCACCCACAGCACCTCAAAGCAGATAGGTTACCTCCCCCATCATCCACTCTACTTCGTTTTGACTCATCCCCACATCAGCGAACAGGCGCACACCGAAAGCCAACAACAGCGACCGTCTCGAACTAGGAGCATCTGGCGCGTCACGGCCGCTCGCGCCGACTTACGTGAGCTCCAGATCGGAGCGTTTGGAGGAGAACACCAGATCCAGGCTCGGCAGTCGTAGCAGACACTCCACCTTGGACACGGGCAGGCACGAGAAGCGAAACGTCGACGGCTGCATGTGGAAGAAGACGATGACGTCGACCGGGAAGGAGCCGGCGTAGCTGCCCGGCTGGGCGGCCAGCGGGTCGGCGTCCAGCGCTGCCCGAGGGAGGCGACGGAGGTCAACGGTCCGGTCACGAGCTACCGTACGGCGCTGACCAGACGCAACAGGACACAGCCGGTACGGGCACGCCGTGGTGCCGGTACTCACCATGTGGCAAGGCATGGCCTGCCCGTGGTGTTGGTACTCACAGTGTGGCGAGGCATGATCTATCCGTGGTGTTGGTACTCACGGTGTGGCGAGGCATGATCTATCCGTGGTGTCGGTACTCACAGTGTGGCAAGGCATGGCCTGCCCGTGGTGTCGGCGCTCGCATTGCGGCAAGGCATGGCCTGTCCGTGGTGTCGTCGCTCGCAATGTGGCAAGACATGGCCTATCCGTGGTGTCGGCGCTCGCAGTGTGGCAAGACATGCCCTAACCGTACACTGACAGGAAGGAGAGAGCACTGAATGCGCAGCGCAAAGCATCCACATTGCGCTTCAACCGAAAGGAAGAAAGGGTCAGCAGGCCAACAAAGGAGCCCAACTCTACAGCGCACGCACGACTATCACTGCTAGGTGACAAAGTACTGATCTTCCGTTTTTTTGCGAGCATCCTATCTCATCCCAACCTCAAGGGAGATGCGTCATGGTGTGACCCACCGTTTGGTGGGCGACAGTACACCACAGCTACCCTCGGGCAAGGTACAAGGGACACGCGGGGCCTACCCTCGGGCGAGAGGCAGCATACGGGATCCACACTCGTGCAAGAGGCACCACACGGGACCTACCCTCGAGCTGGGGGGGGGGGGGGGGGGGGATACAATACGGGACCTACCCTCGAGCAAGGGGCACCACACGGGACCTACCCTCAGGCTGGAGGATACAATACGGGACCTACCCTCAGGCTGGAGGATACAATACGGGGCCTGCCCCTCGGGCTGAAGGATACAATACGGACCTTCCCTCGGGTGAAGGATACAATACGGGACCTACCCTCGGGCTGAAGGATACAATACGGGACCTACCCTCGGGCTGAAGGATACAATACGGGACCTTCCCTCGGGCTGGAGGATACAATACGGGACCTTCCCTCGGGCCTGGAGGATACAATACGGGACCTTCCCTCGGGCTGGAGGATACAATACGGGACCTTCCCTCGGGCTGGAGGATACAATACGGGACCTACCCTCGGGCTGAAGGATACAATACGGGACCTACCCTCGGGCTGAAGGATACAATACGGGACCTTCCCTCGGGCTGGAGGATACAATACGGGACCTTCCCTCGGGCTGAAGGATACAATACGGGACCTACCCTCGGGCTGGAGGATACAATACGGGACCTTCCCTCGGGCTGGAAGACACAATACGGGACCTTCCCTCGGGCTGGAGGATACAATACGGGACCTTCCCTCGGGCTGAAGGACACAATACGGGACCTACCCTCGGGCTGGAGGATACAATACGGGACCTACCCTCGGGCTGGAAGACACAATACGGGACCTTCCCTCGGGCTGGAGGATACAATACGGGACCTACCCTCGGGCTGGAAGACACAATACGGGACCTACCCTCGGGCTGGAGGATTACAATACGGGACCTTCCCTCGGGCTGGAGGATACAATACGGGACCTACCCTCAGGCTGGAGGATACAATACGGGACCTTCCATCGGGCTGGAGGATACAATACGGGACCTTCCCTCGGGCTGGAAGATACAATACGGGACCTTCCCTCGGGCTGGAGGATACAATACGGGACCTTCCCTGGGGCTGGAGGATACAATACGGGACCTTCCCTGGGGCTGGAGGATACAATACGGGACCTTCCCTCGGGCTGAAGGATACAATACGGGACCTTCCCTCGGGCTGGAGGATACAATACGGGACCTGCCCTCGGGCTGGAGGATACAATACGGGACCTACCCTCAGGCTGGAGGATACAATACGGGACCTTCCCTCGGGCTGGAGGATACAACACGGGACCTTCCCTCGGGCTGGAGGATACAATACGGGACCTTCCCTCGGGCTGGAGGATACAATACGGGACCTTCCCTCGGGCTGGAGGATACAATACGGGACCTACCCTCGGGCTGGAGGATACAATACGGGGCCTGCCCTCGGGCTGGAGGATACAATACGGGACCTACCCTCGGGCTGGAGGATACAATACGGGACCTACCCTCGGGCTGGAGGATACAATACGGGACCTTCCCTCGGGCTGGAGGATACAATACGGGACCTACCCTCGGGCTGGAGGATACAATACGGGACCTTCCCTCGGGCTGGAGGATACAATACGGGACCTACCCTCGGGCTGGAGGATACAATACGGGACCTTCCCTCGGGCTGGAGGATACAATACGGGACCTACCCTCGGGCTGGAAGATACAATACGGGACCTTCCCTCGGGCTGGAGGATACAATACGGGACCTACCCTCGGGCGAGGGCGGCAGCACGCTGAGACCACGCGTCATCGGCAGCAGCTCGAACAGCTGGTCCAGGAAGTCGAGGATGTGCGGCGACACAACCGTCTCGGTCGGGATGCTCTGCAGCGTCACCCAGACGAACAGGCTGGCGCGCTTGGAGAGCGGCTGCCGACGGCCGGCCGCCGGGCCGCCCGCTGGCGGCTGGGGCGAGAGCGGACTGAACGGCGGCTGGCGCAGCGGCGGCGTCGGCTCGCTCACCATCTTCGAGTCGTAGTGTAGCTGCGGGAACACGGTCCAAGGGTTACTGCTGAGTCGTGGTTCGCAAGTTTGTTCATGGCATGACCGCGAGGGATCCACGCTCCTTGCGAAACATCCAGCCGGAGAACAGGTGGTTCGCAGCTGTCCTGAAGAAGTGAACCCATCGACGCATTGTCCAGATGACAATAAGTGCTTATCCAATGTGCGTCCTGGTGCATGGTCGTGAAATGTGCAACAGCAACGCAGCAGCACCCAAAACGTGGCAGACATCCTTCGTTACGAGCAAAGCTCCCCAAGCACAATAAGTCACGCTCTGAATCGGACAGAATTAGTCGGGATTTTCATCCATGCGGACGTCTGCCTTCGAACCACAAACACGGACACCCGCCCACCTGGCCAGCCACACCGCGGAGCCACCGGCGAGCCGGGCCTACCTTGACGTCCAGACCGGGTATGTGGAAGATGGTGAGGTCGGCGATGGAGGCCGACAGCGAGGGCGCCACCTTCTTCAATCTGGTCATGGAGCTGCTGTGGAGCATGCCGCCGCGACGACGCGACGACGACGGCGTACTCTCGTCCGAGAAGCCAGAGTGTTGCCGACCCCGCCTGCTGGCGCGGACACGCTCTGTCAGATGCGGCCACAATGGGCCCAGTACATGGCCCCGAGTGCTGCCGACCCCGCCTGCTGGCGCGGACACACTCTGTCAGGTGCGGCCACACTGGAACCCGGCACGTGGTCCCACACACGTGGCATACACTGCGGCGAGCAGACCGATATTGCGTCCCTCCCTGACGCGGACCACATTCCGTCGCAAGTGTTTTTGCGGAGCGATTTCAATGCTTTGTGATGTGTAAATCTCTCGCCGCGGTACTTGACAGGCACGTGCCACATCCCAACGCCCGTGGACTGATCTAGTAGAATCCACAGCTCAGCCCAAATAGTTAGCCAGGACTGCACTTCACGCATAACAGGTACCAGCCCCAACGCATTACTGGCACGTGCCGTGGTCCACCACGCACGCTCTCGCATGTAAGGGATCGGGCTCGACATAGGACAGACACAGACCCCCCTCCATCGCCTCACCTTTGGCGTACGAATAAGCACACAGCTCTGAAACGCCAGCGACACAAATCGCATTTCCCCACATGCGCTCTTCGGCACGAAACCCACGAGCGCTGAAGTTAGACACCCGCAAGCCAACCCAGCGGCCGTCCCCTATCCCGGTGCCCTCGGCGCGTGCCGTGCCCGGCGGCCCGTCCGGCCGGCGTCGTCACCTCTTCGGGTCGCGGCCGACGTCGTCCGAGTCGGCTCGCAGGTGGGCGGGGTCGCGCGTGTGCAGCGCGCAGCGGCCCGAGCTCACGAACACCTTGACGTCCAGTTCGAAGTGGATGTTGGGCTCCACCGGCTGCTGTTTGGGCGTCGTGGGCGAGGCGGAGACGGAGGCGGCCGACTCCGGCCGACGCAGCTCCACGTCGTCTACCTCACTGGGGGAGGGGGAGGGGCTGGTCAGGGGTCACACGTGAGACGACTCACGCTCCGCACAAACACACACGACACGGGCGCGTCTCCAGCGGCCTGCACTGAAGGCAGCCGCAGAGCCGGCGGCGCATGTCAGTCTCTGTCACGTCCCACCACCAGCCACCCTGACCGGGCCGCTGACCACCAGCCGCTCACCTGGGACTGATCGGCACGCTGTTGACCTCGACCTCGACCACGGGCGAGGGCGAGCCGCTGCTGGCGGCTGGGCTGCTGGGGCTGGCCGCGGCGCGAGGCGGCGGCGGCGGCGGTGGCCGGCGGCTCCACGGTCCCGGCTGGTCCGGCTCGTCCGACTCGTCGATGGATGCGTGTCGGCTGCCGGCCCGGCCACGCCCCGTCAGTGGCTGCCGCCGGCTGAGCCGCCTACCGGCCACGCGCTCACACCGCCGCCCACCGGACACGCTTGAAGCGCATCGTCGTCTTCACACGTGAAGCGATTTGCCAGAGGCCAGGTGTTGTCGGATGCGTCACAAACAAAACAGAGACCTTGTCCTGAAGCGCTGCACTGGCAGCCAAGACTGCCTTATTGCATGATGCGTGACTAGATGCGTGAAAAGCCGGCCACAGCAGACGTTAAATTCGCAGAAGCGCCCCAAGACCACCATATGGTTAGCGTGTGGTGTTAACCCTTGAACACCACAATGTTCCAAGTGCCAACTGTGCAACGCAACACCGCCGCATGCATCAGCTGAGCCGTCCCCGACGAGAGGACATCAATTTGGCCACACACGTAGGGTCTGTCGGCATGGGATACCCCAAACCGATCAGTCAGAGTCCCCACTTTCTGGCATGAGACGCACACAAGCAGCCCATATTGTTCACAGCAACCAGTGCCAGTTCAACAAGAGAGGCGTGGTGGCGCTCCCGACCTGCATGCACATAAATGTACTTTTGACGGATGTGGAAATTCTCATTGGGACTTACAAGACTGAACTCTAGTTACACACGGCCCTCTGTGGTTAAGGTGTAACCATTTCTAAGGTAAGGTGTACCCATTTCTAAGGTGCGATGTACCCATTTTTCGTGATCACGATTTCAAAGCTCAAGACGAACTCATCCGTTTTCGGGTGTGCTATGGACCGGAATTGTCAGTACTGAAAAGGCGTCATTTGCCAAAACGTAACGTCCGAAGTGGCACGTCAGTAGCGGTGTGAATAAGGACTCCGCGCGGCGCAGAACTGTCCACCTCAAGGGATCGAGGCATCACGTATGCTATCAAACCCGAGTGTTAAACTTTCAAGTCAGGTATTGAATATTCACAGAGCATGACGGCGCTGGGTGCGAGATTCCCGTCAAAATACACTGTTTTTGCGCACGACAGAAGGTAGGTATGTATATATTGTGTAAGCGTGTATGTATGTATGTATTATTTAAGTATCTATGAATGTATTATGCATGTATGCATATACACACACCATATATATATATATATATATATATATATATATATATATATATATATATATATATATCATGCATACATGCATGTGTATACACGCACGCATGTACGTATGCATGTATGTATACACGCATGCGTGTGTGCGTTTATGTATGATTGCATGTACGTACGCATATATGCAAGTATCCAACTTTGATTGGCTCCGATCCCCGCCCCGGCCCTGCCCGACAGCAGTACTACTCGCCATCCCCTCCCTCCGCTGCCGTGCCGCCACCCAGTGTCTGACCTCAGCAGGACCTGGGTGTCGCTGAAGGTCACGCGCGGCGGCACCGGCTCGTCCCTCTCCAGCAGCACGCTCTCCTCGCTAGGAGAGCAGGGCGGCACCGGTCAGCCGGCCGGAGCCAGGCCAGGTGAGCTCAGCCGACCGGCTGGGCGTCACAGGCGGCCCGCCGTGCGCCCCTCGGACCGGCACACCGACCACCGCTACTTGGATACCTCAATGGCCTGGATATTCAGGTTATTGGGAAGTATTTCCGCTAGTTGCAGGATGCGTTGATGCTTGATCATCCGGGCTTTCGAGCATGAGACAACATGGTCATGTGCACCCCGGTTTGAGGGTCCAGCGCGCCGGTCCGCGGGGCCGGCGGAGGACTGAGCGACGGCCGCCTCTGACGCCGGCCGGCCGCCGAGCCGCTCCAAACAAAACAGAAGCGCCGACACACCGGCGGCAAGCTCGTTAGTCAAACCAGGTCGGGTGCGCTTCTTAGTGCAGACGATCGGCGAGCGTGACGGGACAGCTTCAGCGGCTGATTAGCACCACAAGCCACACGGACGCCGCAGCAGCAAACCACAAGCCAGTCACACGTTAGGCCGGCGTTGCACTTGTAGCGCAAATGCGAGACGGCCACGCACACCAGAGAGACAGTGAGACGGCCACCGCACACCAGAGTGACGACCGCGCCAGATGCCAGCCTATGACAGCAGTCAGCAAGGGTTACCAGCTAGCTTGGCCGACATCGACAGATCGTGGTTGGTTGGACATCCTGGCTGGCCACCAATCGGATACGAACTCACGCGATTGGCTACCAACCGGCCAGCCAATGCCGCGACTGGCTGTCAGTCGGCCCGTCTGATCTGATTGGACGCGGACAGAACGCCTCGGCCATGATTGGCCGCGGGTGAACTCCACGCCGGCCGTGATTGGCCGCGGGAGGAGCGCCCGGCCGCGACCGGCGGCGCGTGTCGCCTGACCTGCTGGTCTGGTCGGCGGTGATACCGTCTCGCAGGTCGGCGGGCGTGTTCAGTGAGCGCGTGACACGGCGGCCGTGCACGGACCGGCTGCGGCCGGGCGGCGGTGCCGAGCCCTTGCTTGCCATCGTGCCGGCCCGGATGCTCTGGCGCCGCAGCCGCTTCATCATGTCCCGCCGGAAGTCCTGCGGCAGCGCCAGAGCCCGGTCAGCAGCGCTGTCGTGTCGGCAGCAACATGAGGCGGACAACTATGTGGTCAGACAGCCGCTAGGCATGCATGACGGGCTGCTATCAGCAACGGAAGCGAGGAACGCAATCCGTATGATGATACTGAAGCTGGACAGGACATTTACAACAACCTCCTCAAACGAAGTCATGTTTGACGTTTTGATGCTTTTTTGTCGAGTGGCGTTGGGTTTGCTGTTTGCGGGAGGTTATGATGTATCCAAATCCATCGTCGAATAAAGTCAGCCGGTCGTCTCAGACAGCTTTACACCGACCGACAGTGACTCGCCTTAAACACCACCGACTCGAAGGCCTCCAGCTTGCGTGTCTCCTCCTCCAGGATCTTGCTGGAGGCGCCGTGCAGCATCAGGTTATGCACCACCTGTCGGCACGGCCACCGCCTCATAAATAGACGCCAGGCCAGGTCGCATGCTTAGCGAACCGAGTGACGCATGCATGCTAAGCAACGGAAGGGCCAAAGCTGCGCTCTGATAGCGCACATTTCAGCTGTGGTGGCCGGCAGCCATGACTGACCAACAAATGACCAGCATTTTACAGCACAAGTGTGCAGAAACCCCAAACGCAACACAAGTCATGACATCATTGACGTACGATGGCGGCATGGCCTCCCAGCCACCACAACATGCTGGCGTACAAATAAGCCAGCCACAGTGCAGAGCGCGCTCCCGAATGACGAGCAGTCGGCCACGGCAGGTCCCTGCCACGCCAGTGACCCGCTCCAGGCGCTGGCCGCCCACCTTGGCCTGTTCGTTCATCCTGTTCTCCAGCAGCTTGGCGCGCTTGCGCGGGTCGCTGATGTCCAGCAGCAGGTCCGAGTGCAGGTGCTCCGTGGACGACACGGTGCGGCGACGGGTCAGCAAGGGCTGCTGCAGGTCACAGGTCAGGTCACGGGTCAGCAGACAGACGCACCGCTGTGTGGAGCGTGCGGTCAGCCGTAGACACACGGCGGTACATGGGAAGAGAGGTGGCGACTGGCCGCGACCGGACGTCAAGGGGATGTGAATCAAAAGCCGGTCATTCCGGCAGAGCGCTGGACAGCGTAGTACAAAGGCCCGATGTCGCCGGGGGAACATTGCCGGACGGGGCCCCCGACCAACGTCTCTGTAGGATGTCATAAGCACCTGAACATGCATCAGTATCAACCCCAACCCGGTGCGACATAACGCTAACGCGTCGTCTGCGGGACCTGACGGAAAAGAGCCGGCAGGAAACTCGCCAGCGATGGGCACAGCCGCTGGTTGTGTGCACTGGTTGGCCAGGGGCGCGCGGGAAGGTCAGTTGGCCACATTTAACCTGGACTGGCGGGCAGACGTGACCCCAGTGCAGCCTACGCCACCATACATTCCACACGGACCACAACTGAAATCTCGCATTTGCCCTCGTTTCAAAGGACGCCAGGCTCGTGTCCTGGCGCCCTGCGCTCTTGAATACTTGCCGCCAGTGCTTGTGAACGCCTTGGCCAAGGTCACCGCCAAGGTCACCGCCAAGAACGCCAAGGTCACCGCCGCTGTTTGGCACAGCCCACAGCAAACCTGACTCACAAGATGACAAGCACCGCTGGAAGCAACTCTCGTCAGCGCCCCAATACCGATAACCGCAGACCAACTGTACTTTCTTACATAGGCTGGCCTGTCATCCACAAGCCTACAAACTTTCTTGAAATCCGGTGATCACGTCTCCCACAGCCCAGATGATTAGCGAGCAAGAACACTGCAGACGCCGAGACCGAATCGCAGTGACGCGAACCACGACGACGCGGGCATGGGTGTGCCGACGCTGCAGCCGTGCGGTGACCCGGCACCCCCACACCCGGACGGCGCGCGGCGGGCAGGGCGCGGGCCGGGGCGCACACCTGGCAGCTGACGGGCCCGTCCACCTCCGATATGTCGAGGCGGCCCTCCTCCTCCTCGTCGTCGACGTCGGTGAAGGTGGTGAGCGTGTTGGCCAGCGCCGACAGGTGCCGCCCGATGTTGATGTCGACGTTGATGTCGACGCCCTCCATCTGCCACGAGACGTTCAGCACCCACTTGGCGTTCTCTGGAGGCGCGGCGCGGGGCGGGGCGAGGTATTAGAGGCGCCGGGCGTCTGTGACGTGGTGGTCCGGGGCCGTCCGGTTCGGTGTTCACGGCAACGGGAGATGAGGGTTGCCTTTAAGATTTGCCTTTGAAAGAGACGATCTGACTACAGCTGGCACAGGATGAGCCAGTTAACAACATCCATACAACCGCGAGATAAAATAAAACGTTTTATTTTTAGAATGGAGTGAATGGCACGAAAGCTTTTAGCAACACACAGAGAACAAATCTGGTGTAGGCAGCACCATCCAGTTTAATGGTGCAAAGAATGTCTCTGCTTCTGTCGTCATAAAAATGCTTCCTGCAGATGGGATGGACACAGCCCACCAGTAGAATTTCTGGTCTGCAGCACCTGAGTTCACGTCCGGTATCTACACCTCGCCTCACACCACGCTTCATGATTTCTTCTGGTGCCCACCACGGGCCTGACCTCGAGCGTGACCTGCCAGGTCACCCTGCACTGACCTGCGGCCAGGTTGATGCCGACCGTGCGACTGCACACCTCGTACGTGCCCTCCGAGACGACGCACAGGTTCATGATGGCCGGGTCTGTCGTGTCTGGGGCGAGGCGGAGAGGGGTCAGCTGGACACGGCCCGGCAGACAGCGCTCTCCACCAGATGGGCACAGAACGGCCGCCAAACACTGCGGACCACTGCGCTCCCGGCTGGGTGGGCACAGGATGGCCTCCAAGCACTGCGGCCACGGCGCTGAGCGCCGCGCTATCGTCCGCGCCGCTGCTGCCGCCGCTGCTGCAGGGCTCGGCGTCGTCGTCTGGTGCTGGGCACGCCACTGCGGCTATGGCGCTGAGCGCCGCTCTATCGTCCGCGCGGCTGCTGCCGCCGCTGCTGCAGGGCTCGGCGCCGTCGCCTGGTGCTCGGCACGCCACTGCGGCCATGGCGCTGAGCGCCGCTCTAGCGTCCGCGCCGCTGCTGCCGCCGCTGCTGCAGGGCTCGGCGCCGTCGCCTGGTGCTCAGCACGCCACTGCGGCCATGGCGCTGAGCGCCGCTCTAGCGTCCGCGCGGCTGCTGCCGCCGCTGCTGCAGGGCTCGGCGCCGTCGCCTGGTGCTCGGCACGCCACTGCGGCCTGGCATCCCGATCGCTTGCGACGGGGCGTAATGGGTAGCGGCAGTGGGTCACTCCCTCGAGAGCAGCTGAGCCCGGACGACGTCGGGATGGTGCCGTTATGTCTACAAATATCAGCACGCTTCGCGGCTAGGTGTAAGTCACGGCATGGGAAAGGCGGGTCACGGGATGGACAGGCGGGTCACGGGACAGAGGTAGACCCAAGGGACGGCACTCCATGTGGCACGAGCTCACAGAAGCTTTCACCACAAGTGTCCATATTCTTCCAAATGCTTCTCTCCAAACTGCATCCATAAAGCACGCAATGATACCACCTAACAAAACCGTACCTAAGCACTTGCATCGTGTACACAATATGTTCTACAGCACAAATATACAATGACACATAATATGCCATCCGACAGCCTATAAGATAAAACCATCGCAAGGCAACAACAGAAAAGGTCAATCATTATTAATCTTCTAAGTCAGTATAGCCAAACATTTGAGGTTGGGCATGTTAAACAAACATAACAACGAAATATAAATTCAAGCCAAAAATAGCTTACTATTGATAAATTGCAGCTAGTTACTAACTCATGCGTTCATCAGGATTAATCAGCAAAGCTGACTCGCAGCTTGCCAGAACAGGGGCGCAGTTTCGCGAAATGAGCTCGGGGAGGGGGGCTGAACAGTGAACAATCACCGAATCTATCCCCAAAATATGCTAACATACAGATGTCTCCCCACCCAAAGCTGGGGGAGCTGGCGCCCAAATGGACGGAGAGCTGAAGCCCCTCCCCAACTGAAAAGGAAACTGAACCACTGAGGCAGACAGTCCTTACCCTATGAAATCATACAAAAAAAAACCAGATTGCGCCAATCCGTGACAGACACCGGTTACGCCGCGAGTGGCGGCTGCGGCAACAGCCGCCAGCCAATGGCTCCCGCGCCCAAAACTAACGCGCGAGCCGCACAGGCACGGTGCACGCAACCAAACATAAAGAAGCGACATGTCAAACACCAAAAACAGGCGGCATATGGGAGTAGGTGAGACATGGAAATGTGAGATAAGGAACGTCACGGGGTGGGGTGGATTGGAAACGGAACGGAGATAAGAAACGATAGAGGGCACGGAAACTATACCAGGGCAACTACAACCAGAGGGGGAGTGTGGCGGAGCGAACGGTGCCAGATGCGGCAAAGTGTGGGAGGTGGTCACAGGGGACGAGCAGTGCCAAGGACAAACAGAGAGGGAGAAAAGGGTCAGCTCAAAATTTGGCACTACAAATAGAGGCGGTGCGGCAGCAACATGTAACAATGCATACACTGTGGCCGAGTATGGGAGTCGATACGTACCGGACTGCGGCGGCTGATACAGACCCTCTGTAAACCAGGCGCACAAAGTGATTCACTGGACCGCCGTCAGACACTGGCACGCAAGGACAGTCACCAAGCGTCACGATCACCACAGAAAGACACACGACCTCGAGCATCGGCGGCCACGAAACAAACAGCATGGTTACGAGAAGAAAACAACCCCAACAGACATGATACGCCGCTGTCAACGTGGGGAGACGCCAGGAATCACCGGTTACGGCAAATAAGCAGTAACATTGGCAACACCAGTGATCACGGTATCCCGACACATCACGGCTGGCTGCCACCGTCACCGGAGACACCGCCAGACAGACATCACGGCTGGCCGTCATCGTCACCGGAGACATCACCACACAGACATCACGGCTGGCCGTCATCGTCACCGGAGACGCCGCCAGACAGACATCACGGCTGGCCGCCATCGTCACCGGAGACACCACCAGACAGACATCACGGCTGGCCGTCATCGTCACCGGAGACACCGCCAGACAGACATCACGGCTGGTCGCCATCGTCACCGGAGACACCACCAGACAGACATCACGGCCGGCCGTCATCGTCACCGGAGACACCGCCAGACAGACATCACGGCTGGCCGTCATCGTCACCGGAGACACCGCCAGACAGACATCACGGCTGGCCGTCATCGTCACCGGAGACACCACCAGACAGACATCACGGCTGGCCGTCATCGTCACCGGAGACACCACCAGACGTCACGGCTGGCCGTCATCGTCAACGGAGACACCACCAGACAGACATCACGGCTGGCCGTCATCGTCACCGGAGACACCGCCAGACAGACATCACGGCTGGCCGTCATCGTCACCGGAGACACCGCCAGACAGACATCACGGCTGGCCGCCATCGTCACCGGAGACGCCACCAGACAGACATCACGGCTGGCCGCCACCGTCACCGGAGACACCACCAGACAGACATCACGGCTGGCCGCCATCGTCACCGGAGACAACACCAGGGCGCGCGCCGCCCTCGCCCACCACGTACCGGGCTTCCAGTCGTCCAGGCTGGTTTCGAAGTCCTGCGCGAACCGCAGACAGAAGCCGGTGAAGCGTCCGCTGCAGATGAGCGAGTCGCACGTCATGGCCGACACGGCCGTCTCCTCCAGCGTGATGACGAGCGCATCGCGCGAGTCGGCGTCCGTCACCATCTGGCCGGGGCCCGTCTGGGGGGAAGGGCCGGAGCCGTCACGTCACCCGCTGCGGTGCGTCCGGCCACACGGCCCGGCGCCAGCCACCCAGCCCCACCTCGGGACAGCAGCCCGACGGCGACGAAACGACACGGCGCGCGAGGGAGCGCTGGTCTCGGCCCGGCGCTGGAGCGAGCCCGCAACAGACGAGGGCGCGCCTGGTCTTACCAGTGCCGGGTTCGAGGAAATCATCCCAGAAAATATACATGGTCTTTAATACAGACGCTCCGTTCCAATCTATCACAGATCCACTTCTGTCACGGGATGCGCACTTCTCCTAGAACCGGAGAAGGCCGACCAGCTGAGAACGAACGATTGGAGCGGACCGGATCGACACCGCGAACCGCGCCACGGCGGCACCTGAGACGCGGCGCGTGACAGTGCGGCGCCGGCGCCGGACTGACCGGCGAGTGCGTGTTGATGGGCAGGCAGATGCCCAGGTCGTCCACGGTGACCTGAAGGAACAGCGTCGAGCGCAGCGTGGTCACGTTGATGTGGCTGATGTGCGGCACCTTGTCGAGCACCTGCCGGGGGAAGCGGCGTCAGCCGGCGGCGCAGGAGGTGACGGGGTGCAGATGTGACGGCCATCGGAGCCACCGGCGAGCTGCTCCATCGCTGGCCTGTCCCCCTGTCTGGGCCGCAAGGCGTCGCCACCCAGCCTGACACCCATTACGTCATCAAAGCCTTCTTTTTACAAACGCGCTAATATACCCGTTATGAGCGTCGCCACACCCGGGGGCAGCCGAAGCGAGTAAGAACTCCCGCGACGGGAACTGAACTGGGACCACCCGGCTCAGAGCCCCACGCCGTGACCACTCGGCCATCCGCGGTCGCCGTCAGCCGCTCACCTGCTGGGTGGCCGTCAGCACCTCCTTGTTGAGCGTGCGCCGCTGCTCGCTCCAGTAGTCGTACGCGTTGCGGTAGTTGAGCCAGACGAGGATGGCCTTGTCGACGGCCATGGGCTGCACGTACACGAGCGGGCGGCGCAGAGCGATGCGCACCACCTCCTTGTCCGGCTCGGACGCCGCCACCGGGCCGCCGTCGTGGAACGTGTTGCTCAGGCCTGGCGGAGGGCCCGAGCTACGGTCACCATCCACAGGTTCCTCGTTGACGCTTGTCGACTACTAGGCACCAGTCATTGGATACCAGCTGCTGCGCAGGATGTCATACACCTCTGGCCAATCCGGCAAGGTACGGTTCTCGTCATGGCCGTTACAGGTCTAGCTCCAGGCAGAGGGGGCGCGGTTAAAGGTCTGGCTCTGAGCAGAGCGGGTGCGGCTTAAGGTCTAGCCCCGAACAGGGCGGGTGAGGCTTAAGGTCTAGCTGCGAGCAGAGCGGGTGCGGCTTAAGGTCTAGCCCTGAGCAGGGCGGGTGCCGCCTGCCGAGTTGGAGGCGAGCGTGCGTTAACCGCTGCCGTCCGCGCGTGAAGACGACGACCGGCAGCGCCTGACCGATCTCAACAACAGACGATCTGTGTTGACGCGACTGATGAATCGAAGACATTGAACACAGTTCCTCCAGCGATCACGGCACAACCGCCTGAGTGTGACCTCCGCACCTCGGAAGCGGATACACATGACGTTACAAATGCCTGCAAAACCGCAAGAGGAGCACAGCTGTGGCGGCTGTCGCACCGCCCACATGGCACCTACGCGGACCGTTACCTATTTTCGTCTTGAAGTAGGCGTACTGGTGGAACTCGGCGTCGGCCTCCTCGAACACGACGTTTCGGATGACCTGGCCCAGGCTGACGTTGACGCGCAGCTCGGCGCGCCCGTACAGCCGGGAGAGCGGCACCGTCCGGCACTGGTCGGCGCCCACCCGCTGGTACCTGGTCAACACGCCAAACCTTGAGCTCGGGCGACACGCACGCTCCTCAGTGGCCATCGGCCGCACGCACGACACGGCGTCGCGGGCCGCCGCTCTGTGAGCCCCGGCCTGCAGTCTGACCCCTGAGCCGCAGTCTGACCTGCCTGCGGTCTGACCCCTGAGCCACAGTCTGACCTGCCTGCAGTCTGACCCCCTGAGCCGCAGCCTGTGCTGCCTGCGGTCTGACCTGTTGCTGAGCTGCAGCTCCGTCAGCCCCGTCTCCAGGCGGACGGCGTAGTTGGTGGGCGTGGTGGCCGTGATCTGTATGCCGCGGAAGGTGAGCCGCAGGCTGTACAGCACCGGCCGCTTGGAGGGCGCCGCCGGCCGCTCTGCCGCCTCCTCCTCGCCCAGCAGCGACGACTTGAACTTGTCCAGGCCGGCCATCTTCTGCACCACGTCATTCACCTCCTGGTGGCGATGCAGACGGGCGGCTGGGTGGGGCGCACAGACGCAGGGGGGCCGCTGGGATCCGGATACCTTGCCCGGCGGCTGACGGGCCAAGTCTCTAGCCAGGCCACAAGCAAGCGTGTCCCTAGCCCGGCCACCGGATGTCTCACGTGGTACTCAGGTACAGCGCTGCCGCAAGGCACCGCCACTTGCTGACACTTTTCGTGGCGGGTGAAGCCACGGTGCATGCTTGGCATTTAGAGGGTTGGTCACGTATTTCTCAATTGAACGGGGTCTCTTATGAGCTCATAATTAAAAAATCACCGCAATTGCGCACTTTGTATTATGTCATGCTTGTCAGCAAAACAAAGACGTTATTAATGCAGCGTGGAGGGCGTCTTTGTGGGAAGCTCTTCCAGTACTGCGCACGACGAAATTGCCAGTGCCTTGTGTGGTTTGTTCCGAATGGGCACGACGCAAAACACCGTGAATGCTGGACACATTAATTCTGACATACTGGTTTAAATCAACTTGAATTTGCATGCACCGTCAACTCAGAAGACTAGCATCTTCACAACACCTTGTTCATATGCAAAGCCTGACAGCTTTTATCTGCCCTTCCACACATGCCCCCCCGTACCCGTACAAGCCCGCAGTACGACAGCTGGCTTCTCCTCCCTCGTTGGCTCGCCCCACCCGCACTTACCATCATGAAGACCTTCTGGACGAAGACCAGGTGGTTGAGCAGGTCGGTGGAGAGCGTGTGCTCCAGGGCGCCGATCTCGGCCTCCGTGCTGAAGTAGCTGCCCGGACAGACCTCCACGCCGTCCGGCACCGGCGCCGGCTCCGCCTCCTGCTGCATGTAGTCCGCCGATATGTGCACCTGCCGGGGTCACAGCCGGGTCACAGGTCAGGACAGGTCACCGCCGGCTCCGCCACCTGCTGCATACAGTCCGCCGATATGTGCACCTGCCGGGGTCACAGCCGGATAACAGGTCAGGACAGGTCACCGCCGGCTCTGCCACCTGCTGCGTGCAGTCCGCCGATATGTGCACCTGCCGGGGTCACAGCCAGGTCACAGGTCAGGACAGGCCGCTCGGCTCCACCTCCTGCTGCATGAGTCCACTGATGTGTGCACGGGTCAGGTCTGGAAAGGAGTCCTAGTGAGGCACCAGCGTCCATCAGGGTACTACTGATCAAGCAACGGCAGCGTGGAATAACCCACCGCCGGGAGACCTTTGGTAAGTGTACAACCGCGCGGCTTCCTTGCCGTCGATCCAACAGCGCCTTCCAATCAAACAGCAGCCTGCTGCGCGACAGTCCCCCGCCCCGCGAGGTCGATCTAACAGCGCCTTCTAATCAAACAGCAGCCTGCTGTGCGACAGTCCCCCCGCCCCGCGAGGTCGATCTAACAGCGCCTTCTAATCAAACAGCAGCGTGCTGTGCGACAGTCCCCCGACCCGCGAGGTCGATTCCCAGCCGGCAGCGACGAACACGCCAGCGCGCACAGCCGCCGCGGCCGTCACAGGAGGCCTCACCCAGGGGACGAGCAGCCACTGACCTGCGGCAGCGCCACAGAGGCGGACGACGGCAGGTTCTGCGCCTCCACCACCTTGGTGCGGAAGCTGAGGTCGTGCCGCGCCAGGTCGATGGTGAACTTGGCCTGCGGGCCGGTGACGCCCATGCTGGTGACCGTGTCCATCTTGTACTGGGCCTGCAGCGACGGCAGCAGCGCCGCCGTGATCGACAGGCTCTGCCGGCGGATGGCGGCGGCCGGTCACCGCGGCGCCGGGCGCGCCCAGCGCAGCCACAGCCACACTGGCCTGTCAACACGCCATCCGTGGACGGAGACTGATGGTGCGTCATGGGAGAGGCTCTGGCGGCGGGGACGAGAGCGCTGGTCCGCCGCACCGAGGCACCTTGCCTGGGTGACGGCGCGGAGTGTTTAGGTCCGCGAGGAGGAGGCGTTAATTATGTGATGTGTTGTACTGAAATGGGCCTTGTCGACACAGACGAGGCCACCTTGCAATAGTACCGCACTGCACGCTCGGACAGCTACACCCACTGCGTCGGAGAGCCATCCGTGGGCGGTGAGCGTGCGCTGACACGTGCGCTGATGACGACACGAAACATGGGTAACGGCTCCGCAGGAAGAGTACGGAGAGCGGGTCCTGTACGGGCAGGTCTGACGAGGCATGACCACACCCGCACGCACGCACGCACTTGAAACCACACACTCAAGTACATGGGGTGTAGTTGGGGGAGCATGTCTGGAAAAGGGAGCCGTGGCCGCTGACGCCCCCCGACGCGGCCGGACGGCACGTGGCCGGGCCGCCGGCCCACCTGCAGCACGACGCTGAAGTGCACCGCCAGCGGGTGGATGAGCCGCTCGGCGGGCGCCGGCTCCTCGCTGGCGTCGCGCGCCGCCCGCTCCCGGTGCCGGCCCAGCTGCGACGGCGGCGTGTCCAGGTCCTCGATGGTGAACGTGCTGGCCCGCACCAGGCGGCCCGACCGGCTGTGACGCAGCTCCTGCACGGCGCGGGCAGGCGGCGCCGGTCACGCGGAGAGTGGAGACGGCGCCGACACGGGCGGCGGGATAGGCGGAGTAGGTAGGCTGGCGTGAAGGGGGACCGAGGGACGTAACTCCGCTGCTAAGGACAAACATGGCGAAGTGCTAGGTGGCAAAACGTGTTTCTAGGAAAGCTGAAGCTAATCGTCCTAGTGGTCACTGCAATGGATAAATAAATGCATGTCTTAACTTCGTCGATTAGAGGTCTGAACTCGGGACATTAATAAGGTCAAGTCACCGCATAGAACGACTTTCCCTTACCATTACAGCCTGTTAACAGAAAAAGGCAAACACCGAGCTGAGCAACAAAATACGCCACGTCACGATAAACTGAAGCTTTCAGGATAAAAACGCTAGTGAATCTCACACCAGCCAAGAACGCTGTACCGGCCGTGTGCCCACGTAACTCGGTGACTCCTTTGCAGTACACCTCTCACCTGCCACCGACCTTGAGAGCGTCAGGGAGGTCATCCTGACCTTGAGCGCGCTATGGAGGCAGCCCTGACCTTGAGTGTGCTGGAGAGGTGGACCTGACCTTGGGCGTGCTGGAGAGGCGAGCCTGACCTTGAGCATGCTGGAGAGGTGGGCCTGACCTTGAGCGTGTTGGAGAGGTGAGCCTGACCTTGAGCATGCTGGAGAGGTGGGCCTGACCTTGAGCGTGTTGGAGAGGTGGGCCTGACCTTGAGCGTGTTGGAGAGGTGACCCTGATATTGAGCATGCTGGAGAGGTGGGCCTGACCTTGAGCGTGCTGGGGAGGTGGGTCTGACCTGAGCGTGCTAGAGGTGAGCCTGACCTTGAGTGTGCTGGAGAGGTGGGCCTGACCTTGAGCGTGCTGGAGAGGTGGGCGCTGCTGCGCGTCACCATGCCGTGCAGCGCCACCGGGTGCTGCGGGATGTCGATGGTGATGGTGCCGATGGTCACCAGAGCTGAATTGCGCTCGCGCAGGCGCCGGTTCTGCGCCTCGGTTGAGTACAGACATTGCGACTTGCCCATCGTCATGCTGACCACCGTCCTGACAGGGAGCGCGTTCACTGGTTAGAGGCTGCAGAATGTGACACTCTGTCCGCAACTAATCGCTATCGTCAGCAAGGCCGATGGTGCCGAGCTTGCAAAGCATGGGACCCTGAAAAGCTATGAGACGAATCCCGCGCTGGTCATCTGCAAGTGACCTTTGGAAGTCAATATTTTTCACGCCACAAAAAAACACCATCGAGCGGGAACATATGGCAACGCGCGTATGTCGGAGGCCTGCCATAAGATAGGCACCGAAGTTCAGTAGAACACCGCCGGCCAGACCCCTCAATACCAACAGGAGAAATAACCGACAGCTCCTGAATACAGCAGTCTGACCCGGCGGGTGACAGCATTCCGCGGCCCCTCAGCCCTACCAGCCTGTCCCGCAGGTACGGCCCCTCATATGTTGCCGCCAGCCACCTACTCGACGGAATCAGGCTCATAAAATCATATCCCTAGTTTATGCACGGAAAGTTGCGGCGTCTCATATTGATTCATATGAGCATCATTCTTTTTGTTGGCCCTTTACCTTCCACGCGTCAATATTTCCACATATTTTAGCGTCAGAATGGGTGTTGCGAAAGCCTCATGCCACAAGGCACCACTGACTTCGCAATACTACGACCGTTCGGTCAAACTGATACGCTACGCTACGCTGTGGAGCAGTCCGCTGAACACCAAAATGCAGAAGTGTGGGATAATCCATCATTCTGCATCTGTTACAGCTGAAACGCTTCCCCGAAAACACAATTGACACAGTCCAAAACAGGTTTATAATGTTGTTTTACTGGTCCCAATTCTGCGCAGCTCGGCGGCGGCCCCGGCCCGGCGGGTACGCACTGGGAGGCGCGCGGCAGCTGCTCCTGCAGCGCCACCTGGACGGCGCCCAGGTGGCCTGTGAGCGAGGTCTGGTGGCCGCGCCGGCCGGCCCTGCTGTAGTGGCGGCCGCTGATCGAGGCCTGCACCTCGCGCACCTCCGCCTCCAGCCGCAGCCCACTCAGAGACGCCTCCACCAGCGTGCGCCGCACCTTGGCCACGCCGAACAGCAGCAGCGGCGTCAGCTCGCGGCTCGAGAGGCCTGCCGACGGCGCGGAGCGCGGCGCCGAGTCAGACGGGTCACACGGCTCCGTGACCGGGCTCGGACGGGCGCAGCAGCGACGCCGGATCGTCGTGACGCGGGGGCCGACGACGCCACGGGCCGGATGTGCTACGCCACGGGACACACGGGAAGCCACGGGCAAAGTACATGCCTACGTGGTAAGGATGAGACGGAGCATCATGATTGGGGGGAAAAAATATGCAAAATGGAGTCAGTGATGTTTTCCAGGTTGACAGCATATTGCTGTTGGTACTTTAGACAGATACAGTTCAAAAGACAGGCACCGAAAAACCGTCCGAAGGAGTTTGCCAACACAGTTACATGAAAAGTCAGCCTAGTAATGCATGATGACATTGGGCGTAACATGATCGAGCAACAGCAAAACAAAGACATTACACAGTTTGCAATATTTACTGCACAAATCCCACTTCCACAGCTTTAAAAAGCAACCAGCACCACCCTCGGCCCCGCTCCGGCCCCTGCCTTCGACCCCGTCCCCGCCCCCGTCCCCGTCCCCGTCCCCGTCCCCGTCCCCGTCCCCGTCCCGTCCCGCTCCTGCTCCTGCTCCTGCTCCTGCTCCTGCTCCTGCTCCTGCTCCCGCTCCCGCTCCCGCCCCTGCCTCCGATCTCGCCCATAACCCGCTCCCGCTCCCGCCCCCCCCCCCCCCCACCCCGCCTCCCCTGCCCCTCGTCGCTGGTGCCGTACGCTGTTCGGTGGTGCGTCGGGCGGTGGGCGGCGGCTGGCCGGCCGGCTCGCCCGGTGGCGGGCCCGCCTCATCGGCCGGCGCCTCCCGCAGCACCTCATAGCGCCCGGTGCCGCGGTACGGGTCCGGGGAGTGCTCGTGGATCGTGGCCAGGCGGCAGCTGAGGCGCGGACACACGGGCCGAGGCGGCACAGGTCAACCGGAGGGAGCCATAACGGCCGACAGGGGGGCGAGCATGCTTGCAGACAGACACTTAAGAGTGCTTCAAAAGGTGATCATCGGCATCCCACTGAAAATGTTAAGAGGCATGAACTGAAGCCCCGACCAGCGGCCGTTCCAAACTCTGACCAGCGCGCTGGGCGAGTGTCTGACGGCCCCAGCACCGGCCAACACCGAGGTATAACACGCTGGGCTACCAACGACCCTGGTCTCCACACACAGCGTCCGGGTATGGCTGGCCCATGTGCTCTGTCCCAGCCTAGACACGCGGTGCTGTGCCACTGACTGTCGGCACGGTCCCTCCCTCCCGGCGTGCATGTCCGGCTGCTGACCTGTTGCGCACGGTCTTGGTCTCGGGCACGATGGCGTACAGCTTGAGCAGGTAGTAGACGGTGCGCCAGCAGCGGGGCGTCTCGGGCCGCTCCTCGGGCCGCTCCAGCGACGGGGACTGGCCCGGCTCCATCGGGCTCTGACCTACAGGCGACAACCGACCGGGGTACAGAGCGATCACCGCACCCGCGCACACCAGTCATCCAGACTTAAAAAGGCTTCTTAGTCAACAGCCATTAAAACACTGAAGTTCAAGTGGACGACCTCCGCGGCCTACCTCCGGTGTATCACGACATCCGGTCATAACAGGCATGGAAGGGTCCACGGCCCGTCCCGACCAAGGATAATTGACACCCGACAGCACAGATCACGGTAACAATGCGTGATCCTCGCGATTTACCGAGGGCTCGCCGTGTCAGCATGTTGCCGTAAACCCAGCCTCAATCCGTCACGGTGACGTTATCAGTAGCAGGCGACCGTGACCACCCGAGCTCCACACGCGCTAGCACCGCCGGTCGCGGCGGGCGGCGGCGTGCTGTCCGCAGGGCGCCCCCTGCACCACCCCGCGGCACGGCGGCCGGCGCGACGCACCTGACTCGCCGGCCGACTCCGGTCCGCTGCGCGGCGGCAGCGCGGCCGGCGGGAAGCGGAAGAGGGAGCCGTCGGAGCCGCTGTGGCCGCCGGCCGACAGCGGCACGGCCAGCGGGTCATCATGCAGCTCGGGTGACTTCAGGTCCGGCACCTCCGACCCTGCCGCGGCCGGGAGCACACCCTCAGCCAGGCAAACGCCACGATGGAGCGGACCTTGTGCACATGTTCCACGAGTACCACTGAGTTTCTCCATTATCAACATTCAGAAAATATTTTCAACGGCGACTTTTACAACATAACAAGCAGATTTAGAACATAAACATAAGGAAGGCAATGAAACAAAAGTAATTTATGTCGGAATGCGCAAAAGGAGTGGTGGATATCCCCACATGACGACCGTCTGTCGCCGACTGTCGTCCTCTATCCAGCCGCACCCAAAGGTACCGTCCCCGCGCCGCGGACATGGCGCCGGTCGGCCGGCGGCGCTGCTCTCACCCGAGGATGAGTCGTTCTTGCCGCGACGGCGCCGACTGCCGGCCTTGCGCAGACGCTCGGTCCGCAGGCCCACCTGCATCTCGCGCGCGTTCCAGTAGATGCTGCCCAGCTGGTTCATAAGGCGAAGCAGCGGCATGTTCACCTGCGGGCCGGCCGGCGGGGTGAAGCCAGCTGACAGAGCACCAGAGCGTGCGGATCAAAACCCGCCGGACGGCGCCGGGTCCGGCCACAGCCCGGGATCCAGATCAATGATCCACGGATCCAGCCGAAGCATCGCGCCGACACTTGGCCCGCCCGGGGATGGCGCGAGACATAGCATGATAGGTCGCATCACATACACAGTCCGGCTGCAAGCGAGCCACGTCAGCGAGCCGCACGGCATCCGACAGTCCGGCCGCCAGCACGACGTAACAGGCACTGCACATTGCCCCAGCGCCGAGCGGCCGCTCCGCCCCGGCGGGGAGCCGGCGAATCCGACCTCTCCATCCGACCGCCCACCTTCAGCGACAGCGTGTCGGCGCAGACGGTGAAGTTGACCACGGCCTGCGTGTGCCGCTTGAGCTGGCGGCGCGTGACGAAGGCGTGCGGCTGCCGCTGGATCCACTCGCCGACGGCCGTGTCGGCCACGTGCCGCAGGTCAAGCTCCACCCGGGCGGCGCTCAGACTGAACGCCGGCTCGTCCGACAGCTGCGCCTGCGGCCGCACTGCAGCCGGAACGGCACGTCAGACAGGCGGAGAGACAGCTGCTGCTGCTGGCTCTGACTGCTACACAACGCCGGTAAGCAGCGAGCGCTGAACAGTGAGGACTACTTGAGCCTGCGGCGAGCGTCGGCGCTGCGGACGGCCCACGGCCGGCGCCTACCTCGCCGCGGCTTAGAGCCGTTGTTGCTCTCCGATATGTCGATGCGCAGCGACTGCAGGCCGGCCACCAGGTTGACGGAGCTGCCCAGCTGGCGCAGGATCGTCTCGCCGCCCAGCACCTCGCTCAGCACGCCTGCAGCACGGCCACATGCCATATCGGACTCACGCGCGGTCACACGCCACATCGGACTCACGCGCGGTCGCACGTCAAATCGGACTAACGCGCGGCCACGCGCCACATCGGACTATCGGACACACCAAACTCACGCACGGCCTCACGCCACATCGGACTCACGAACGGCCACACGTCACATCGTACTATCGGCGATACCGGACTCACGCACGGAGTCACGCTGCCACACTCAAAACTACCTGATTCGTAAGGTGATAATGATGACTTGGGCTTCAGGGTGCGCCTTCTGCCCTGGTCACGGTGATGCCCATATTCGTAAGGTAGTAAGCAGTGGAGAAACAATCATATACCACCGTCTCGTACGTTTTGAAGACAATGCCAAGTGGAAATTTCGTGAAGCAGCAAGAGCATCGCGTTTGAAAAGCCGTGAGTGCATCATATATTCTGCTTTATGGTATATATCTAAGGGGAATTCAACAACGATCCTACCTTCCACTGAACACCTGTAACACATTTCAACTGTACCACAAGGGCACGTTACAGCCAAAGCGCTCCAGATCTCGCTGCACCGAGTAGTGGCCAAGGCTAGATCTCTCCACCAGTCGGCCAACGGTGAGAGCCCTGCTCCGGCCCGCGAGCCCGGCACCGGGACAGCGCGCGCTCACCGGCGGAGGCCAGTAGCGGCTCGAAGATCTGGTGCGCCTCGAGCACCTGCAGGCCGGAGGTGGGCAGCGGCTGGGAGGAGAGCTCGGCGTCCTCGTCAGCTGCTGACGCTGAGCAGCGGCTGGTGCTCAGAGGTGGCTGTTGTGCTGGCCAGGTCCTGAGGGAGGCGGCAGACCGCGCGGAGGACGGCATCAGATGTCGGACACGAGAGAGAGAGAGAGAGAGAGAGAGAGAGAGAGAGAGAGAGAGAGAGAGAGAGAGAGAGAGAGAGAGAGAGAGAGAGAGAGAGAGAGAGAGAGAGAGAGAGAGAGAGAGAGAGAGAGAGAGAGAGAGAGAGAGAGAGAGAGAGAGAGAGAGAGAGAGAGAGAGAGAGAGAGAGAGAGAGAGAGAGAGAGAGAGAGAGAGAGAGAGAGA